TTTTCTAGTGTCCTTTTTAAAAACAACTTTATGGAGATAAAAATCACATACCTCACAAATCACACATTTAAAGTAGTCAGTGGTTTTTAGTATATTCACTATTGTTCAGTCATCACCACAGTCAGTTTTAGAATATCTTTATCACATCAAAAAATTCCATCCCATCAACTATCACATTCCCCTGATCCCAACATGCCCTCACCCCAGCCCCAAAAAACCACTAACCTACATTTTGTTTCTATAGATTTTACTAGTCCAGACATTTCAAATAAGTGAAAGTGTATAATCTGTGGTCTTTGTGATTGTGTCTTTCTCTTAGCATAATGTGATCAAGATTTCGTCATGTTGATATGCCACATTTTGTTTATCCATTGAACAACTGCTGGACATAGGGATTGTTTCTTCTTGATTGTGGTTATGAGTAGTGATGCTATTAACATCCAGTAAATAGATGATTAATAGATGTTAGATATATAGATGGATGGATACACACAAGTATTGATGTGAACACCTGTTTTTCATTTCTTTTTTAAAAAATATTTTATTTATTTATTTTTAGAGAAAGAGAGGGAGAGAACATCAATGTGTGGTTGCCCCAGTTGGAGACTTGGCCTGCAAACCCAGACATGTGTCCTTGACTGGAAATTAAACTGGTGACCCTTTGGTTCACAGGCCAGTGCTCAATCCACCAAGTTACACTAGCCAGGGCCTGTTTTTCATTTCATTGAGGAATAAATCTAGGACTGGAACTGTTGGGTTATATGGTAACATTACATTTCTCTTACTCAGGAACTGCAAAACTATCATCATAACAATTATACCATTTTACATTCTCACTGGTAATGTGTTAGGGTTCCAAACATTGTTTCCACATTTGTTATTTAGCCTTTTTTTTTTAATTATGACCATGTTAGGGTGTGAAGTTGTGGCTCATTGGAGTTTTGGTTTTCATTTGCATTTCCCTGACAATAACATTGAACATCTTTTTATGTGCTTACTGGCTATTCCTGTATCTTCTTTGGAGAAAAGTCTATTCAGTTGCTTTGCCCACTTTATAATTAGTGGTGTTTTTTTTTGTTATTCAGTTATAAGAGTTCTTCATATATTCTGGCTACTAGATATTTCTTAGACACAGATACTTCTTGATGGTTAAGTTGAAAATCTAAGTAAAATATGCATTTATTATACCTAATCTATGGAATGTCATGGCAAAGCCTAGCCTACCTTAAACATGCCCAGAACTTAAATTAGTCAAAATGGGGAAAATCACCTGACACAAAACCTATTTTATAACAAAGTGTTGAATAGCTCATGTAATTTATCATGTATCACTTTCACATTGTTATAAAGTAAAAAAGATTGTAAGTCAAACCATTGTAAGCCTGGAGTTCTGTATATAATTCATGAATATTTCCTCCCACTCTGTAGGTTGTGTTTGCACTATCTTGGTAATGTCCTTTGGTGCACAGTTTTAAATTTTGATTAAGTCTAGTTTATTTTTTCTTTGGTTTCTTGTGCTTTTGGTGCATTGCCAAATTAAGGTCATGAAGATTTATTCCCCATTTCTTTCAGGAGTTTCAACTTGGAAGAAATGTACCTTAAACTTATGTTTAGGTCTTTGATTCATTTTGAGATACATTTTTGAACATAGTATGAGGTAGGAGTTCATTCTTTTGAATGTAGCTATCCAGTTTTCTTAGCATCATGTTTGAAAAGACTATTTTTTGATACATTTTATTTATATTTACAGCAAGGGGAAGGGAGGGAGAAAGGGGGAGAGAAACATCCATGTGAGAGAGAAACATCAATTGGTTGCCTCTAGTGTGCACCCCAACAGGGGACCAAATGCGCATCCCAAGAATGTGCCCTGACTGGGGATCAAATTGGCAGCTCTTTGCTTTGTGGGATGATGCCCAACTAACTGAGCCACACTGGCGAGGGTAAAAAGACTGTGCTTTTCCTATTAAATGATCGAATGCATGGGTTTATTTCTAGACTCTCAGTTCTGTTCTGTGGATTTATATGTCTGTCTTTGCCACACTGTCTTGATTACTGTTGCTTTGTAGTTAAGTTTTGAAACCAGTAAGTGTAAGTCCTCAGACTTTGTTATTTTTAAGATTGTTTTGGCTATGTAGAGCCCCTTGTGATTTCATATGAATGTCAGCATTGACATTTCTGCAAAAAAGATCATTGGGATTTGATACAGGTTTCACTTTGGGGTATATTATTGTCGAGACAGTATTAAATCTTCCAATTGATAAACATAGATGTCTTTTCATTTATTAATGTCTTCTTTAATTCCTTTTAGCAATGTTTTTTAGTGTTGAATGTACATGTCTCACATCTTCTTAGTTAAATTTATGCCTAAGTATATTTTCTATTTTATTTTATGTACAATTGTTTTCTTCAAATTTTTATTGTTTGTTGTTAGTGTACAGACATACAAGTGGTTTTTGTGTGTTCCTCTTGAATCCTCAGAGTATGCAGAATTCGTTAGCTCTAATAATTTTTGTAGATTCTTTAGTATTTATAGACATTAATTTTTAAGTTGCCCAGCTTTTCTCTTGTTGTAACAGCATTACTACAGTCTTGTGCCATATAACAATGCTTTGGCCAATGGCAGACTGCATATATGATGCTAGTATACCATATAGCCCCGGTGTGTAATAGACTGTGCCATTTGGGTAGGTGTACATACTCTCTATGATGTTCACACAATGATGAAATCATCTAATCAAGCATTTCTTAGAACATATCCCCATTGCTAAGTGATAAATGACTGTACTGCTCTTTTCAGCTCTTGATATTTCTGAGCAAAAATTCAAAACAGCACTGTAAGTAATTTTTTCTAATTTTGTGAGACTGTTTTTGTATTTTAGTATTCAAAGTACACAAAAACAATTTGTTACAATTACTTTATCCTATATATTTCATTTAGTCAAGTTGGTTAATTATGTCATTTAAATATTCTGTATCAGTGGTCAAGAAACTTTTTATGTAAAGGTCAGATAGTAGGCTTTGTTGGAACTACCAAACTCTACACTTTAATGCTATAGCAGCCATAAATAACACATGGACAAATGCATGTGACAGTGTTCCAATAAAATGTTACTTATAAAAGAACTGGTAGTGGGCCACATTTGGCCTCTGGGGTATAGAGTCTGCTGACCCCTGTTCTAAATCCCTTCTGGATTGGTTTTTTTTTTTTTTCAGACTGCTTGTCCCATCAGTTAGTGAGAGAGTTGTATTAAAATCACTAATTAGCCCTGGCTGGTGTAGCTCAATGGATTGAGTGCAGGCCTGTGAAGGAAAGGGTCGCCAGTTTAATTCCCAGTCAGGGTACATGCCTGGGTTGCAGGCCAGGTCCCCAGCAGGGGGCACATGAGAGGCAACCACACATTGATGTTTCTCTCCTACTCTTTCTCCTTCCCTTCCTCTCTCTCTAAAAAACAAAATAAATAAAATATTTTTTTAAATAAATAAAATCACTAATTATAACTGGATCTATCTACCAAATTTCTGTTAACTTTTATTTATAAACAGTCAATTCTCATTATTCTCAGTTATGTTCTAAGTCACCATGAACACTGAATAAGCAAGTACTTAAGCCTTGCTCTTAGGGGAGATGTAGAGTTAGGTTCCTGCAAGTCTCTGGTCACAACATTTTGGGCAACCAGTCAGTAGATAACCTTGTTTTATATGTGTTTTTGTTTAAATCACCTTACTCGCTTATTGTAGATTCATGATCTAACTACCAACAACACCATAATTAATGCTTGAACAAAGCTTGTCTAACACCCTTTTTGTCTCCATGAGACATTGTACAACCTTCTTGCACTTGGGAACATTAAAAAGTGTAATCACAAGAAAAAGCATAAAAATGCAAAAAGTGTGCTAAACGGCCTGTAAAAAGGCACTTGTTTATGGTATGAGAGCTGAAACATGGAGGCAAGCATTATCTTGTTCAACCTCAGCTGGGAAAATGTGTATTGGGCACTCAAATTTTTCACCATTCTGTGAATTCCGCAAATGACCACAAAATCATGATTATTGATTTTGAGGTTACAAGTAAATATTAGTAAGTGAATTTGCAAATACAGAATCTCTGAAATATCTAAATAATAAGGATCAACTGTATTTGGAAGCTATGTTTGCAAGTTCATACCAATTTATATTTGTTTTATATTCTGCTAAAAGTATGATTTTATCATTATATTGTTATTCATTATGTTTTCAGCATTTTTTCTTACCTTCAAATCTGCTTCTTCTCATGTAATTATAATATCAATTTTCTTTTGGTTAGTGATTACTTATGTATGTATCTTTTTCCATCCTTTTACCTTCAATCTGTATTTATCCCTCTCTATAAATTGTATTTTCTTTGTTGTTTTTATGCTGTCAATTTTTCCTTTAATTGGATTGGTTAGTCCAGAAATTGGCAAATTTGTTCTGTAATGGGTCAGATAATATGTATTTTTCTTTGATAGGTGTAATGTCTGTTATGGAACTACGAGGCTCTGCTGTTTCAGCACAAATGCAACTGAAGATAATACAGAATGACTGGGTATTTGTAACTGTGCCCCAATAAAACTTAATTTAAAAAGTGGCATGTTGGATTTGGCTGCAGGTCATGGTTGGCTGACCCCTAGCCTACAGTGTATATGCCTAAGGCTGTAGATTGGGGTGTGGGGAAAAATGTATTCCCCATGTCCCAGTATATTTATTTGGAAATTTATTTATACTTCTAAAATTTCAAACAACAAAAGTTTACTAATGTGCTTATTAGTTGTACATATATATAACTCAAAAATATATACAAATTAAGTTATAAACACTTTTACTAATCAACTCCAAAGTATAAAATTAGATCCAAAATAGGCATACTTATTTTCATTTGTCATTATACTCTTTAGAGTAGACATAAGAATTGTTTTCATATGTCTTTTTCTATGTCACCTAATTCTAAACCCTTCAAATTGAATAGAAATGTACTATTGTAGGCATCAGTGTCATTCAAAGATGTGACTGTGGAGTTCACCCAGGAGGAATGGCTACAAATGGGTCCTCTTCAAAGGACCCTGTACAGAGATGTGATGCTGGAGAACTACAACAACCTTGTCTCAGTGGGTGAGCATATGAGCATAGCTTACTTTCGGAATGCTGTGTAGAAAGCATTTCTTCTTTATGCACTAGTACACATGGATACTTTAGTTAGATTTTAATGTTATTTAGGCTTTTAAATCAGAAGTATAAAGTAACTAAGCCCTGTTGGAGAATGTGTTGTTAACTTGTAATGATTAATTCAAATGAGGACCTTCAGGGTGCTTTTTGTGTAACTGTATCTTTCTAAATTTTTTGGTACCAACCGTCTTATCATCTAGCCTAAGTACTCCATTGTTTCCTATTTATAGGAAACTGCATTTTCAAACCAGAGGCCATCTTCAACTTGGAACAAGGAAAAGAACCTTGGTTCTTAGAGGAAGAATTCTCAAACCAGAGTCACCATGGTAAGTTTGAGTGCTGGCAGACAGAATTCTATGGGTAGCTAAACTCTGGAAGCTCAGTTTAGCAGTGAACACTTACATGTTTCAAGAATTTTCTTAAGCCTCTTTCTAAAAACAAATAAATAAAATCTTTAAAAAACAGACTTTTTAAAAAAGTCACAAAGGCACAAAAATCATCATTAAATGGAGATGATTGACCTGGTAGAGTGGCTCAGTTGGTTGGAGCCTCGTCTTGTACACCAGAAAGAGTATTTATGGCAATAATTGTCTTGAGTGCATACAGGAGGCAACTGGTAATTGTTTCTCACATCAATGTTTCTCTCTCCCTCTTCTTCTCTATCCAAAATCAATAAGCATATCCTCAGGTGAAGATTAAAAAAATAGGAAATGATTAATAAACTTGACTAAATTAAAATTCAGAACTTTGTTCATAAAAGATACTAGTAAAAAGATAAAAAAAACAAGTCATAGAGAAGCAGAATATGTACAATACAAGGAACCTGAGAAGGACAAGCATCCTGAAAATGTAAGAACTTTCACATGTCAATACAGGAAAAGGTAGTAACTCAATTGAAAAACAGACTAAAGATTTTTTAATAGGAACTTCAAAATGGACATAAATCTTCAAAAATGTATTCAACCTTATTTTTCACAGAGTGAAAAATATATATTAGTTGAGATGAGAGAGGTGGATGATATGTGGTAAAATTAACAAACCTGGTAATGCCAAGTCCTGATGAGGATGTGAAATATTAAAGATCCTCATTCACTGACTGAGAATGTAAACTGGTAATACCACTGTGTAGTTAGGAGGATGTTATCAAATTGAGTTGAAGTTTTATATACTTTGTCATCAAACAGTACCTCCCCTAACTGTACCTCCCCTACAGAAAGACATGGTTGTATTTTCCAGAATGAATAAAAGAGTATTTATGGCAACACTGGGAGTGGGTTTTGCCAAAAATCTGGCTCATCAGCAATACAATAAAGAAATATTTGCATTCCTAAGGGAAATTATAAAGCTACATAAAATCTTATTAGTGATTATAAACATAATATTAAGTGAAATAAAAAAATAAATATGCATGTATGATTACATATAAGTGTCAGAAAAAGGCAAAGCTTAGTTACATTTTTAGAAAGTCATATGTTGGTGCTAAAACTACAAAGACAATACAGGAAATGATTACATAAACATTAGGAGAGTGATGGTCTCATAACCATGAAGAAACTGTAATGGGGGGGGTCAAATAGGGATTTTTGCCAAGTCATTTGTGTTCTAATTTTTGACATGGTTTAATTTCATGACTGCTCCCTGAATATTGTTATATAATATATATATAACTTTGATGCAAATATAAATTATGTTTCATGCTTAGTGAGAGTTAAAAGATGACTCAAAAGCAGATGATATTCGCAAGTCAGATATCCCGTAACCAACAGGCATCTAGAATACATAAAGAATTTGGACCTTTTTAAAAAAGTTCTCACTTGAAGGTATATTTTTATAATTTCTATAGAGAGTAAGGAGTGGGGAGAGAGAGGGGGGATACATCAATGTGAGCAAGAAACGCTGATCAGTTTCTTTCTTGTATATACCTGACTGGGGATTGAACCTGCAACCTTTTGGTATATAAGACAACACTCCAACCAACTGAGCCACCCAGTCAGGGTTTGGACCTTTCTAAAGTGTTATCTTTGCATCCATGATACCACATTAAAAACTGCACCATTCAGATAAAATTGAAATGTGGAAATTTAGGGTGAGGTAAGTGATCAAGTTCACTTATTGTTCAATTTTGAGAGAATAAATTAAAGGTATCAGTGAATCTAACTTAGTTGCAAGAATGGATTTTCCTTTTATCAGTTTTACACTTATTTTTATTACTATACAGAGTCACAGCTTTAAGGTGGGTTAAACCCTGAACTGTAAATTTCATTTAATCATGAGGCAGTTAATGGCATCAATTTAATTTGATGTTGAAAGATTGAATGGCAATAAGGGATGATATCAAATTGGCAGTATGTATACGCTTGAGTATTTTATTAGTGTAGCCTAGATAATATAGGACTTATACTGACATTATTTCCTCAAGTCAAATCCTTTCCCTGTTGAGCCTTGCCCATCAATGCTCATTGTCTTCTAATTTTTCTTGTTACTCTACTTACTTTATAGTCCTCATTGTATTCATCCCATGATGTGGTTTTCCTGCTTCCTAAATAATTGCTCCTCTAAAAGTCTAATTTCTGTTCTCCTTTTCTTTCACTTTTACATCCAGGTAGAAAAATCCAGTCTATCACAATCCAAATACAGATATGCATTTATTACCAGTTTCCTCTTTCATTTTTTCACTATAGATATATTTGAAAGAGAGTGAATATATATATATATATATATATATATATATACACACACACACACATATACACATACAAATTATTGCATCTTGAAAAACCAAAACTTGAAATGCAACATAAGGTATATTTTCATAAGTCCCATTCATAAAAAAATGTAAGATTCATAAAATGCTTTCAATTTTCCCCATTTTTAGAACATTATAGAAATGATTACTTGATCAAGAGGAAGAAAATCAAACACTTTCAGCAAGTAACATTGATCAATAATAAACCTTTGACTGGAGAAGAAGAGGAAGTTTTGGGGAAACCAGTTAATCTGTACATAGCCCCTGTTTTTTTTTTTAACAAAAATGTCCTGTAAATATGACTCAGGGGGAGTGAATTTGCATATTTCTCAATTTATCATTAATAGAACCGACTCAACCAAAAAAACAGGTTTCTGTGATGTCTGTGAAAATTTGCCTTTCAAAATTAACTTTGAGAGAACTCATACTGGAGAGAAATTTTATCAATATAACAAAAATGGGAAAGCCTTCAGTTACAAGGAAAATCTTCCTGAGCATCAAAAGTGCCAAACTTTCAAGCAAGCTTTTGAATGCACTGAAACTGAAAAACTTTATGATGATGGTGCCTGTATTACAAATGAGAGTACTCACACAGGAGAAAAATCCTGTAAAAATGATGAATTTAGGAAAAACTGTGATACGATAAGTCTCTTTGACCAAAAAATAACTGTCATGGGAGAAAAATGCTCTAATCTTAAGCAGTGTGGGAAATCCTTCTCTGAGAAGTTACCTGTCAAGGAATACAATACATTTAATATGGCTGTGAAACACTATGAATGTAGTGCTAGTAGGAATAACTTCAACAGGAGGTCTCATCACACTGAGCCTCAGAGAATTGTCACAGAAGAGAATGTATTGGTATGTAATGACAAAACACAAACTGGGGATAAATCCTTTGAATATCGTGAAAATAGGAAATTAGCCCACAGAGTATGCCAGAGAACTCACTCTCAGGTAAAACCCTATAAATGTGATGAATGTGAGAAATCCTTCTGCCAAAAAGGACATCTCATTCAACATCAGAGAACCCACACAGGAGAGAAACCCTTTGAATGTAATGAATGTGGAAAAACTTTCTCCCAGAAATCACATCTCAGCACGCATCAGAATTCACACAGCAGAGAAACCCTATAAGTGTAAAGAATGTGGGAAAACATTTGTCCAGAAATCAACTCTCAGGGGACATCAGAGAATTCATACAGGAGAGAAGCCCTATGAATGTAGTGAGCGTGGGAAAACTTTTGTTCAAAAGTCAACCCTCAGAGACCATCATAGAATTCACACAGGGGAGAAATCATTTCAGTGTAATGAATGTGGGAAAACTTTTGGCCAGAAATCAAACCTCAGAATACATCAGAGAACTCATGGTGGTGAGAAAACTTACCAATGTAATATATGTGAAAAGTCCTTCTGGCGAAAAGACCATCTCATCCAACATCAGAAAACACACACAGGAGAAAAACCATTTAAATGTAATGAATGTGAGAAAACTTTTGCCAGGACATCAACTCTCAGAGTTCATCATAGAATTCACACTGGGGAGAAACCATTTACATTTAATGAATGTGGGGAAAAAATTGTCAGGAAGGCAATCCTTAGTGATCATCAGAGAATACATACAGGGGAGAAACCCTTTGTATGTAATAAGTGTGGGAAAACTTTTGGCCAGAAATCAAACCTCAGAGTACATCAGAAAACTCACAGTGGGGAGCAATCTTATGAATGTAATTAATATGGAAAATTGTGTAAGAAGTCAACCCTAAATGTATGCCAGAGAATCCAGAGAGGGAGAAAACCCTACTGATACAAAAACTGTGGAAAATCCTTCTGGCTAAAAGACCAACCCATTTGACATCAGAAAATTGAAACAGGAGAAAAACCATATGAATATAAATGCAGGAAGAATTTTGTCCAAAAGGTAACCTAGAGAGTATTCAGAGAATTCACATAGGCTTCTATTTCTTTCAAGCTAATGTGGAAAGCCCTTTAATGAAATCATACCCTATTAGATAACTCTCACACATCACACAGGCTGGCAATCTTTTCACTAGTAAAAATTGCCTTTTTCCTCTGGGCACATAGCTAATATAAATTTCCCAGTCTCCCTTTCATCTAAGTGGGACTTCGTGACTGGCTAATGGAACATGGATGCTCAGGTTCTATGCCACATCTAGTTCTGACAAAAGACTTCCCCAACAAACTACCCAGCGGCTGCAAGGGTGAAATGGAGAGGACTTCCAGGACAACCTTGGGTGCCATGGTTTAACATGGCACATGGCCCAAAACAAAAGCCAAAAAATGTGGATCAAAATTCTCTTCCATATTTTTCACTTGGAAATTTTGTGAGCAAGACTTAAGCTTGTGTTCTGTTGAGCTCTTACATGTTTGGAGTCTGTTTCTGCACATAGTTTAGCCATCCCACTACTAGAGAGGCAGAACACTACTTGTAAGTTAAGCTTACATCAGCCACAGGGTACAAACCTTATTATAGGGTTGATATGTCAGGGAGTCAGTCCCTCAGAGATCATCAGAGAATTCACACAAAAGACCTCCTTTCAGTATAATGAAGTAGATCATATCACCTGATATTGGGCTTTGAACCAAAAAGTTGGAAGCTTTTTATTATGTTTTTCATTTTAATTGTTCAAGTACAGTTGGAAGTTGTTTTTTTTAATTGGATGAATTGATGAGCAGCTATCGTGCAACTAAAGTAAATGTGGCTTGTTTAATGTCATGAAGCCACTCTCCCATCATACCTCCTGGCATTTTCATATACCCCAACCTCAGCCGCTTAACGAAAGAGATTTTCCTGTCTCCAAAGGGGACCTAAGGCCTTTGGCATACACCCAAGTGTCCTGGGAACTTTGAGGGAGGGGAAGAAATCAGGTTTTTATGGTCCTACAGGATATAGATAACAGTGCCCATGGAGGTTAGGGGCTACCTAAATTTAGATAATGTTGCTAGGTTACAATTTACAGTAGGGAAGGGAAATGAATGAAACTTTATCAATAAATGGGGCCATTTGTACCAGTGCAATATACTGTGGTTACTTGTACATCTGGAAGTGCAGTAGAAATTAATATATTGTACTCCCTGTTCTCATAAGTCACAAAATTCTCCCAGTCAGGAAGTAAAGATACCTTTGAGGTCCCACAGGCCTTAATGACCATTTGGGCTTCAAGTCTGACTGATTTTGTTGGTTCAAACGTCTGACAAAAGGAGGCACCCTTGGGGGTGAGGGGGTAGTTTGACTTGATGCCCCGACAATGCTACCAAGGGTACCCTTTGTGTAAGCAACTATTAGCTTATTCTTGAGCTCTTTTACATTGGATACCTGATTTGCAGAGGCCTTGACTTGACTGGGGGTGTATCACCTTAGGCTTACTAATAAGATGGAAAGGACTTAACTACCCTCCTGTGAAATGAACATGGTGTATTCAAGAATACAGCTGTCCTGACCCAGCAGTATTAGCTGTATATAAATTACTCTTTTCCTCAGGAGATTTATCCTCACCTTGCTGCCTGGAGCAAACCTGCTTGCTTAGTAAGGCCCTAAATTCATAGAGATTACTCAAAGTAGGCCTTGCTTCACTAATGGTTTGACTAGTTGACATCACTCAGATCCTATGATTCTTCACCCTCTACAATTATGTAGACTCAAAAGGTAACATGTTCTCAAATATAGCCAACATTCCCTTTGATAAAACTTGGTGTGTTTTTATTTAGTCTGGGCTCTTGTGCCTATTTGAGATGCGAGTTATAACACTACAGAGTAACAAAAGCACCCCTCTTTGGAGCTGAGAAGTGTGAGAGAGGTTGTAGCTGTTAAGCACAACATCTGGATTGTTTGACTACATGCCCATGTTAAGAGACTGTTTAGTGACAAAACTGTCTGGAATATAGTTGTGGATCAAGACTTTACTATTCTTTTTTTTTTTTGGTGAAAAAAATGTGTCCTTTATTTTACAGAAAAAAATAAACAGACTTTTGGCCAACTCAATAGTATATAATGTCTGGGCATGTCTATTAGTTGCTCTGAACCTCTTTTTTCACTTTTTTTTAAACTTTTTTTATTGATTATGCCATTACATTTGCTCTATTCCCCCCTCCATTCCCCTCCACCCTGCATACCCCTCCCCCACCATTTCCCCCTTTAGTTCATGAACACGTGTCTCAAATTCTTTAGATTCTGTACTTCCCCTACTATTCTTACCCTCCCCCCTATCTATTTTCTATCTACTGTCTATGCTACTTATTTTCTGTACCTTCTCTCCCCTTCCCCTCCTCCCACTCCCCTGTTGCTAACCCTCCATGAGATCTTCATTTCTATGGTTCTGCTCCTGATCTAGCTGTCCTCTTAGTTTGCTTTTGTTTTAGGTGTGGTTCTTAATAACTGTGAGTTTGCTGTCCTTTCACTGTTCATCTTTTTTATCTTCTTTTTCTTAGGTAAGTCCCTTTAACATTTCATATAATAAGGGCTTGGTGATGATGAACTCCTTGAATTTGGTCTTATCTGAGAAGCACTTTATCTGTCCTTCCATTCTAAATGAAAGTTTTGCTGGGTAGAGCAATCTTGGTTGTAGATCTTTGGTTTTCATGACTTGGAATACCTCTTTCCAGCCCCTTCTTGCCTGTAAGGTCTCTTTTGAGAAATCAGCTGACAGTCTGATGGGAACTCCTTTGTAGGTGACTGTCCCCTTAGCTCTTGCTGCTTGTAGGATTCTCTCCATTTTAATCTTGGCTAATGTAATTCTGATGTGCCTTGGTGTGTTCCTTCTTGAGTCCAACTTCTTTGGGACTCTCTGAGCTTCCTGGATTTCTTGGAAGTCTATTTCCTTTGCCATCTTGGGGAAATTCTCCTTTATTATTTGTTCAAATAAGTTTTCCACTGGTGGCTGTGCCTTTCCCCCTTCTGGTACCCCTATAATTCGATGTTGGAACGTTTAAAGATGTCCTGGAGGTTCCTAAGCTTCTCCTCATTTTTCTGAATTCTTATTTCTTCATTCCTTTCTGTTTGATCATTTTTTTCTTCCTTCTGGTCCACTCTCTTGATTTGAGTCCCAATTTTCTTTCCATTACTATTGGTATCCTTTGTATCACCATTCATTTCAATTAGTTTAGCTTCCATATGTTTCTCTAATTTGTGACTAAAATCAACCAGTTCTGTAAGGATCCTGATAACCAGTGTTTTGAACTGTGCATCTGAAAGACTGGCTATTTCTTCATCACTTAGGTCTATCGGTTCTGGGGCTCTGAGTTGTCCTAGAGCCATTTTTGGTCTATTCGTGCTGTTAAGTGAGCGGAGCGAAGCCTTAGTTGTTTACCAGGATGGGGCGACCCAGGTTGCTGGTTTGTGACGCTGTGTGTGGGGGCGTGGTCAGAGAGGGAGCAATGGTGTTCCTCTCCGCTAGCCCAGCGCATCCAGTCACTCCACACGCCTGGGGCTTGTTTATCTGATCGGAATTGTGCGAGCCTGCTGCCCCGCGCCAGCTTCCCTTCTCACTGGTTTCTCCGCACGTAAATGCGCGGGACCGACAGACCCACACCCACCGCGCCTCTTCCCTGTGCACTCCGGCAGCCAGCTCGCTCTCGATCAGCGCCCTCGGTTGCCTGCGCGCACCGCGCACTGCCCCAGGAATTTTTTCTTGCTAACCTGCTCTGCTGCTGGCCTCGCTCCTTGTACCGGTCCAGCTGAGTATCCAGTTGTCCTTTGGACTCCGTATTGTCGATTTTCCGTGTGGCTTGGTTGTGACTGCTGTTAAAAATAGTTGTTCTTAGATTTGGTTGTGCACAGAGGCAAGGTGGTTCCTCCACCTATGTCTCCATCTTGGCGGAAGTCTCCAACCCTTTACTATTCTAATTGCCAGCATTGCCACCTGGGTCAGCTGTCATACTGACAGCAAAACATCCACCATCATACACTGGATACAAAGTAAACGTCTCCATATATCCAGTGCTTCATTTGATGTAATTTGATATTAGAATCTGTAATTATTTTCTTCTGGATTAGTAGCCAGTGCTCAATATACTGTTTTATTCACCCCTTCCCTACTGATTTTAAATACCTCCATATTCTGAATTGCCATTTGTAAAGATACTGCATATGGCCACTCATGACCATTTCCTACATTTTGTTATATTAGTAACAAATGCTCCTTTTGTGAACATGGATACCTTATATGAGGAGGAACCCAAAGATTATCTTCTGGAGGGTGGACCCCTTGTAGTACAGGCTTCTGATGCCAGATTAGTGTTCTAGGAACCCATCTGTGTCAGTGTACCACCTGGTGGTGTTCTGAGAAGCTATGGTCTGCTTCAGTGAATGTTTTTGGAAGACTTTCAATGCATTGAGGGCACCTACCCATGCTGCACTGAGTGTTCACCAGTTTTGACCAAAGATTTCATGGCTGCCATGCCTCACCCACCTTTTCATCTGATTTTGTTCTGAGTGACTTCTTTATGTTTCCCCAGATTAAAATAGTCCTCAGAAGAAAACATTTTGCTGACATGGAAGACGTGAAACAAAAAATGGTAGAAGCACTAAAAGGCATCAAATAAATGAGTTCAAAAAATGTTTTGAGCAGTGGAAAAAACATATTGATAGGTGTATTGCATCGAATGCAGAATGCTTTGAAGGTGACTGAAGAATAAACATGTAAGACTAAATATACAAGGTTTTATAAATAAATTCTGGGGTTTTGGGTCCCCCTTCACAATTAATAAAATAAGAAA